GATTGGTTATGAGGGCATTCTCAAACAATTCCATTATTCTGGAGTGAGAAAGATGATCCACAAGAGGAAAACATTCAAGACAGTTACTAATCTAAGCTTAAATACGAAGCCTGAACCCATGCAATGTTCAGTGAAACTGCAAAAAAATCTAACGAAAAACTGAAGAGCTACACATCAGACTCTACAGGCCTCGGCTAGCATGTTAAAGGTTAAAGTTCATCACAGTACAATAAAACAGACGGAACAAGCACGGCATGTTTGGAAGGGTTGCCAGGAAAAAACATGAGCTCAGGTTTGCAACAAATGACAGAACTTTTTGATCAAAGTGCTTCAGACAGCAGAGAGCAAGGTGGAGATGTTTGGATATAATGTACAGCATCACATTTGGAAAAAACCACACAAACATATAAGAACAAACACCTCAAACCAACCTTCAAGAATGGTGGTGGAGGGCTTTGATTCGATTTGATTTGTGATGATTTCAGGCTTGTTTACAACCACAAGACCTGGGGACCTTATTTAGTGAACTCCTCTTTATACCAAAGCATTCTTGAGTCAAATGTGAGGCCATCTGTGTGACAGCTAAGGTTTGGGCAAAACTGGGTCACACAGCAGCAAAATGATCCCAAGCACAGCAGAAAACAGCAGAATGGCTGAAAAAGAAAATAATCAAAGTGTTGCAATGGCACAAATTCTTCATTTCAACCTGATGGAGCTGCTGTGGTGATTTTGTCCTGACATGTAAAACTATAGAACTGACAGTGGGATACTCTCCTTTTATCAGTGCTGTATGTGTAATAGTGGATCAATACGTTGTTAACATCTGCCTATCAGAACCAAAAGTGGACACTTTATCATGTATCAGCTGAGTTTTTACAAAATCAGCTAACTAGAAGAGTAGCAGAAGAAATTAATTGACTTCACATTCGTAGTTCACTGGTAATTGCTAAGCCATCCCTTTGGCACCCTGCTCACTGCGATACATTGTAATTTACTCTGAGAGTCGCTGTGTGCGAGAGGAGAGCAGATAGGCTAAGTATAGAGAAGAAAGTGTCAAGAAGAGACGCAGATTGAGCTTATCTGTGAGCTCAGGCCTTCCTTTGTCAGGTGCAGCTCCTTTCTGATGGAGACTCTTTGAACTTGACAGAATAATTAAAATGAAGGCGAAAAAGCTGACATTTGCAATTTGACCTTTTTGACTTACGTGGCAAAACTGGCACCATTTCCTCCAGATCACATTATCATTCTGCCCTTGCATTTGAGGTATGTGTGCGTGCCATGTGTGTGTGTTTAAGTATGGGTTTAAGTGTGCATATGCGTAGGTGTACTTAGTGGCTCTGTGTGCATACAGGCAGCGTGTATTCATGAGGGTGCGAGGAAAGAATAAAAGAATAGTTTTATGGCATATTACCGGTCCATCTCTTCATTAAGGAGCTGTTTTCCAGTAAGCGGGCTCTATTTGAGTAGCTAAATTGTCCAAGCAGTGTGCAAACGAGGACTAATAGCCCGATGCCCTTGTCACTGCCAAAGTCAAACTGAAGATCTGAGAAATGAGTGCGTCTCTGTGTGCTTGACATCACAGTCAGCAGCAATACTTCTGTAAATGTAAGGATTCTTACCCTGTTTTTAGTCTCTCCCATACAGTGTGACTGTAAAAGTAATATTTATAACTACAGTTATAATATTTATAACTTCTAGTCATCCTTGGAATAAGTGAAACTCAGTTGTATGTTGCAGGTGACCACAGATAGCTGTAACTACTAGGACACAGCCCACATGAACAGAACATAGTTTAAATTCCCTGCGCCACGTTACATCCACTACATATAATGCAGCTGTGTGAGGTGTTGGGGGCATTAGCTTGGTTTGGTTTGGTGGACTACACAGGATGTGCTGGGTCTTTATCACGATGATCCCAGTGTCAGCATATTGTGTGTTTTTGGCTTCGAGTTCTATTTTTCCGTTGTGCTCTCCTTGTGACTGGTGTGGACTGCCTTATCCTAATAACCAAGTTGTATGTCCTTTGTATGGTGTTTCAAGCTTTTTGTTATTGTGTTGTGTCTTGCTGTGTCTTCATCTCTGTGTGAGGTGTTGCTGTTCTGTTACTTCCTGTTTTATTTTGTTAACCGCAGTCCTGTCCCATAGTTGTCTGCACCTGTGTTGTTCCCCCCAGCTGTTGTCATTACTTTGTGTACCCCACTGTGTATAAGTAGCTTGAGTTTCCCCCTGCTGCCTTTGACCCTAATGACCCTCTATATTTTAGATCACCAGTCTATGACATTTCATAGATTCATCTTGTGTTTTAACTGTCTAAAGGTTTATTTTGTTGTTCTGCTGTTTTAAAGCAGATTTATTTAACATTTTTCATACTAATATGTTTTTTTTCTTGCAGGGATGCCAAATGCTATCATTTTTCTATAAAGCAAATTTACCTGCCTATGGGTATAAATAAAGTTACCTTAACTTGCATTAAATGTGCAAATGCTCATCTTTGTTTTATTATCAAATACAGTTACAATGACAAAGAAGATCAACACAGTACGTATGAGTGTTGATCCAGTTATCTTTACAAGCAGAATAATTCATGTTTAAGGAGAGGGGCCCACAGAGGCGAAGTAATAGTTCCTTAGCTTACTCTTAAATATTCAAATAAAGGAGATCTTTTGTTTTTTTCATGTTTTTTCCCCCACTGTCCTTCAGCATAAGCCTGTCTCGAATGAAATGCTATGCTATAATTTGCCTTCCCACACAGTGTCACCCTGAGTCATTTTTGCAAGGTTAGGACTGAAAACAGCAGATTGGAGAGTATTTGTAGTAAAATGAGACCTTCAGACTTGCTGCTGATGTGGAAACAACCTTGTGTTTAAGAAGTAACCTCGAGAAAGTTTGGGCATGGGAGCAAATCTGTGTTTTTATGAACTATGTGCAGTGGCAGCTGCGTGTTTACACTCGCTTACACCCACATTTACGTATTTTTCCAATATTTTACACATGGCTGTTTATTGAGGGTGTGTGTGTGTGTGTTTGTGTTTCCATACAGCCATTAAACTGCTTCAATTTAGAAGCTTGTTTAAGAAGTTTAAGAGCTATCTCTGAATCAAAAACATCAAACATCTCTGAATAATTCTTCATTTTCGTCAAGTAACGTTGGAAATATTTTCCTACAGAAATACAACAGTTTCTTGGGGATGCTGGAGAGGATTTGTTTCTGTTTTTATTCCTCACGGTGCGCTGAAACAGCACTGCACTTTTCCAAAGACTGAAATGTCAAGCCAAGGATACAGGAAAGCCTTGGTAGGAAGCACATTTGTTATGAACCCAGGAGTGTAAGCTGTTGAAACTATTTCTTAAGAAAGAGGGGAAAATATCTGGAAAATCTCAGGAGTTCATGATGAATCATCTTGGGTCCATCTGAAGACAGAAAAACTGAAAAACATGAAGGAAAAGTAGACACACAATTGCCTCAGACATCTGCGCTGAATGTGGAAACACAGGAGAAAGTGCAACAGAGGTGTGAATAATTTAATCATTTCTCAGTGATCAGTTCCTTCAGTAGATGTTAATATTGAGGAATGGAACATTCTGACCCATTTAAAGTGTTTTCCTGTTTCTGTGCTTTTCTCTGAATTCAAAGAAACGCAGAGTGAAAGTGTATATTTTTTAGGATGGATCTTAATGGACATAAAAGAGTTTTGAGAGCTGACGTTAATGCAGGCTTGGGAAGCATTAACATGCTGTTGCCTTTCTGCTTTAAAAGGTAAAGGCACCACAGTGGAGCCATAACAATTAAAAGCAGCTCATTAATCCAAACTATGACAGTGGAAAACTGCATGGTGGCTATTTGTGGCAGTGCAGCATGGTCTCATTCTGTCTAGGTCTGAGTTATCTGATTTTTTTTTAACTTTGCAATTGTCTTCTCTGCTTTCAGAAGACCATTTAACAAGTGAAGCAGAGACACAGCCTGAGATAAAATGCAAGGATTACCCAGGAACTAGACTGTAGATCAAACTGCCTTTGCAACGATATGAAGTCTGCTGAGCTTCAAGCACAGACTTATTTGTTTAACAAAAATATATCAACTCTCTCAACAATTAAAAAGGGGTATTTAATGTAGGTCATTTGATATGTTCAACATTATTATTAAAGTACTAAAAAAACGACATTTTTATTATTAGCATATATAACTGATCAGATTAAAATATCCCATCAATTAATATTTGAGTAAATTCAATTTCTCTGGAAAAATTCTCAACAGCATGAGACCCTGGTCAGCTATAGTACACTGCCACCTAGTGGCCAAAAATGACATGAAATCCTAGACACACTCACTGGCCATTTAATCAGTTACACTTTGTTAGTACTGGTTTGGAAACTCTTTTTCCCTTCAGAGCTGTTTTAATTCATCGTGGCATAGATTCAACAAGGTGCTGGAAACATTCCCCCAAGATTTTGTTGCATGTTGAGATAACAGCATCACACAGCTGCTGCAGATTTGCATCCATGGTAAAAATTACCTGTTCCCCCACATCCCAATGGTGCTGTATTGGATTGAGATCAAGAATCTAAATTGATGATCTCAGCTTTGTAACATGGTGCAGTAGCCTGCTGGAAGCAGCGATCAGAGGGTGGGTACATAAATGGATGGACATGGTCAACAGCAATACTCAGGCAGGCTGTGGTGTTTAAACAATGCTCAGCTGGTACTAAGGGGTCAAGAACATTTCCCCACATCATTACACCACCACCAGTACCATGAACCTTTGATACAAGGCAGAATGCTTTATTTTGTTTACATCCAATTTTTTGCTATCTGTGATTTTAGCACACGTAAATAATACTAAATAATCAACACTATGTTTTCTAGTGATTCTCACGGAGTTCTTTTGCTCTGATGTAATATTCACTTTCAAATTAAAAGTCACAACAACACAGATCAACACTGCTAATCAACTTCTTATGGAACGATACCATCATAAACAGTTCTAAATAAGCATTATCACTGTGTTTTTAATGAGTAGTTTAATTACATATTAAGTGTTGCATGAAAGTGAGAAAGACTGAAGATGACTTTCTTTTCCTTTATTTTGGTTTTAATGAGCACCAAAAGCATTTAAATAATTCAGTTCTGACCACTGAGCAGTCATGTGTGGAAGATGCTGAGACGTCAGGCACCACGTTAGAGTTCGCTGTGCAGCGGGACTTTGGCTTTCTTCATGTTGTCGGCCACTGTGGACAAAGAGGGGACAAATAAGAGGAAGGCAGTGCTCTTACATGAGTGAAGTAGTTCAGAAATGAAACCTAAACCTAAGTTGCAGGTTTAGGTTTCCTACTAAACCTAAACCTGCAACTACTTTTCCTTTACTACACATTTAATGGCTTCAACTTCTTATCCATCCATTCGCTTCTGCTTATCCTTTTCAGGGTGCTTCAATTTCTTATTTTAAATATATTTTTTCTTATGGGGTTTGTTTCAGAGATGGCAGATTTACTTTGTGCTTTTTAAATATATCTTGTTTTAAGTTTTTTACAGTTACAGGCAGGGCATCATGGTGGCGTGGTTAGCACTGTTGCCTCACAGCAACAAGGTCATGAGTTCAACTCCTTTACCTGGCTGGGGCCTTTCTGTGTGCAGTTTACATGTTCACACTAGGTACAGTCCAAAGGGTTAACTGGTGATTCTAAATTGCCCAGAGGTGTGAGTGTGAAAGGTTGTCTGTGTCTCTGCATTAGCCCTGCAACCTGTCCAGGATGTACCCAGCTGGGATACGCTCTAGCCAACTCTTATTGTGTTTAAATTTTAAATATATTAAAGACAAATGTCCCTGCGACCAATAATCACAAGGTTTGGACCTAGAATAGCTCCATGAATGATTTACAGTGACATAACAGTAATCAGCAAAGACATAATGAATGCTGGTGCTTTAAGTGTGTTAATTGTGCTTTTAGTTTCCAGTGACAAAGCCATGATTTAATGATAATATATCGGGAAAAAACAGTGTCACATTCCTCACTTGCCTTCTCTTTTCCTCGTAAAAAATTGACTCTTTGTCCTTGCACTGCATTTGCAAACCTCCCACCTCTTTGGCTACTAGTGCTACAAGTCTGCTAAAGTTTCTCACTAACATCCACATGGAGCTCAAAATTCTTTCTGTCAGAACAATCTCGTAAAAAAAACCTTCGTCATTTCTGTCAAAATATTGAGGAAGGGATAGGGTTCAAGCTGTGGGGGATTAGTGTGTCTGCAGTCTGCTGACAGGTGAGCTGTGCAAACTGTCATTAGAAAGAGTGAACAGTCACTCACGGCCCTGGATGTCACTCGCTGTGTAGGTGTAGAGGTGGTTGCTGTACTTTCCAGTAATGTCTGTGCGCACAGTCAAGGTTGGATCTGTAGAAAAACCACACACATGAACAGCTCAGGAAAGTAATCAGTATTATGTGACAGCTGATGTGCATTTTATAAACTGAATATGTTTCTGTAAAATTCTTTATCTAGAAAAATGAGTGAGGAAGCAAAAAGAACCTTGGGACTATCCACACCATTAGATCTGGCAGGGTTATGCATGCTTTTGTTACATCTAGACTGGACATCTGTAGACTGCAGTTAGTCAGTCATCTCTTGCTCATTTACAATTACTTTGAAATGCTGCAGCCAGATTACTGAAGGGACAAGAAGCAGAAGTACTCCAGTGTTAGTGTTAGTGGCCTTTCACTGGCTCACTGTTCATTAGAGACTCCACCATGAAGGGGCGCTGTTTGTATTTAAAGCCTGGTTTAAATGGTTTTATTCTGTACTATGCATGTATGCATCTCTGTTCAACCTCAGACAAGGACAGTAAACAATCTGTTCTTCTATATTGAAATTATATTAATAATGTAAGAATTTACCAACAAAGAGGATTCTGGGAACATAGTAACCGTCAGGTGCCAGATTCTTGTCCGAAGTCTCTTCCTGTGTATAACAATATAGTATTTATTGCACATGATTTTAATAATAAAATATTTATATATATATATATATATTTTCTGCATATGTAACATATCTTTAATTACCACCACGTTGAGCATGATGAAATCCTCTTTTGCCATTTTCTGGATAGTCTTATCCGCAACAAATGCCTTCTTCAGGTCTGTTGAAATACTTTGGTTTAGTATTATATTTAGACTGGCTTTCAAATAATTATGAATGAATTATGAATGGAAATATTAATAAATGTATTCTGCCTATTAAATGTCAGAAGGAGGTAAAGCCTGTTAAGTTATTACAGACTGCATTTATAAAATTGCCTATCAGGTCAGAAACAAGTCTGGCAGGTTGGACCTTTAGAATATCACGTAAGGGAATACACAACACACTATAAATATATGAATCCTGTCTTGTTAAAATGAGGACACATTACTAATAAAAAATATATGCAACTTGCTGCAATCAAACAAAATGCTTCAGTGTTCTGAGACTTTCAGCGGGAGGATGCAGAACTGGCTGCTTTTGGTCCACCCTAGCAAAACTCAAAATTTAGCGCCAGACTTCACTCTGTAGGTGGTCTTCATTTTTTATGGGTTAAGAAATGCCAGTGGAGACTTCCACTGAGCTTATTTCACAAAACCAGCTGAGTGATTTATGAACATAACTCTCACATACTTCACTGCCTGCTTTGTGGGTATTACAGAATGCACCCATTGTGTTTCCCGGGAAAACAAACAAGCCCAAGTCTGAGTGAGAAAGACAGCGCAGGAGGTGCGAGCCTATATTTTTTAATATATACGCATACTTAATAAACCAAAGTAGCAGCAGTACCTTTACTGTGTGGGCAGTTGTCTTTATGATGAATGACCATGAGAGGTTTCTGACTGTGAGAGCAAAACCACAGAGTAAGAACTCAGTACATTCCACAACACAATAAACACAGTGAAGGGTGTGAAGGCAGTCTTACACAACCAAATGCCTTAGAAAGCAAAGTCCCCATGCTGGATTTACAGACAAATGAAGATTAAAGTAATAATGTGTTTCCCTTATGGAAAAGTAATGGAGCGTAATTCCAACGCAGAAAGACACAACAAAGAAACAGACTTATCCGAACAAAATAAACTGACATCCAGGACCTTTACCCAAGGTTTAGAGTCCTACCTCTTGGCCATTTTTGCTAGGCCGTCTTCATAATTTTGGGCCCAGTTAATACCACCTCCCCATCCTGCAGGCAGGAAATAAAAATACAGTGATAGGTCAACAACACTGCTGCATGTTCCCAGTACATTAACTATGTCCCCAAACAAGCAAAGTTCAGATTTTATTGTGTCTGACAGCTATACACGCTCTTATGAAAAGGTTTATAGGACATTAACTGGAGCTGTGAATATTGACAAAAGTAGATTTGCCCACCTCTTGACAAGGACTGACTCTTCACTTTCTTTTTAGCTTTCTGTTCCCCGGCACTGGCACAGAGGCCAATGAGCAAAGCAAGCAAGACCCAGCGAAGCATTGTTCCTTGTCCTTTCAGAGAGCTGCTGTGAAAGTTGGCAAATGAGTTCCAAGGAAATTCAGTGACATTTATATTTAAATACAAAACACAAATCAGTTTTAGCCTGACTCACATTTGACAGATATCTAGAGCTGCACTGACTCACCAAACACACCTAACTAGGATTTTCAAGGCGGTATGCAAGCAAGCAAGAATTCATTAATGGTTCACCTGAGATCATGTAAATAAAATAGTTTATAAGCTGTAATTCTACACATAGTTACCACACTTGTATTTGTAATGGGGAAAATATCAATTCTGAAATAATGTGAAAAAGTGTAATTTGAAATAATTCTAATTAAAATTCCTTCATTTACAAATCATTTTCAAACCTTTAGTGAGGCATCTCACTAAAAGCTAGCTTTGAAAGGAATCATAATACTTTTTTTAAAAGTAAATGAAGGTATTCGGGTAGCAGGTAAATCTCTTACCTCGTCAATATGAAGCAACAAGCATCTGCTCTGACGCTCCTATGTGCGCTCTCTATTTTCAGATTTTCTTTTCTATCGAACTTGTCAAACAGGTATATCATAATAGGCTTAAAAAAAAAAACAAGCACGCACTGCCTTATTAAAAGCAATTGTACTGTGTAATGGGATTACACCAGCAGATAGGGAAGCTAGCATTAATTTGGTTATTATCCCTTCTGTAAGTTTAAAAACATATATATACTTTATGGGCTTTTACATGAAACTTCAGTCTATGGATTAAGAATAAATAAATAACTCAAAATAACTTTTTATTTGAATTTGAATTTCGTTCTCTTAAAAAGTGTCACCCTGAAAGTACAGTTGTTCCTAAAACTGCTTCTATGAATCTTCCACGTGTCGGTATAGAGGAAACTCCCACTCCATGCCCGAATAAAGACAGGGATGTATGGCCCATTTTAATTTTAATTAATTTTTGGCCATAGTCTCCACAACTTATGGGGCAGAGTGAATTAATTTCTGTTGTTGCAAATACTGATACCGGAACTCGGTAAATGCTTCTTTACGCCTCGTGTACTCCGAGTACTGTATCTTTGTAGTCTGGCTTCCAAAACTTACAGTTGATGAATGGCCTATTTTATTTTGTATGTATATTGAATGCTTTTATCTAGTTGCTTCTCTTTTCAACCACGCTGTTCTGTTTTGGCGGAAATAATAAAGAATTTTCTATCTATCTACTTTGTCTAGCCATTTATCTAGCCGATTGTTAGTTGTTGCTATGGACACAAAGACCGCTTGGCAACTGTAAGCCCTTGGCGCAGGCGCAGTCCTCTTAAATGATGCACTGTGGGATTGCAGGACATTGACATAGCAACCAGGCGACAGAGTCACTAAGTTTTTCACTCCTAGTTAGTTTCGTGTATTTTTTCTTGGTTAAAAGTACTTAGCTTGGCTTTTTATTTACTACCATGAATGCGGCAGTGGTGAAAAAGACCCAGGACACGTTGGGCAAAGTGATAAAGAAGCCTCCGCTCACCGAGAAACTGCTAAGCAAGCCTCCTTTTCGATACCTGCACGATATCTTCAGTGAGGTGAGACTCAGCTGCTGACATTACACTCGAGAAAGCAAGCTGGATTTTATTTAAGGGGCGCGACACTCTTCTCAGAAGCCTAGCAAAGCCTAATGCCACTTCTAAGTTAAAAACACAGACACGGGAGCTAGTTAGCCGGCTAATGCATAAAAGTTAGCATGAAGCTAACCAAGTAAGTTCGCGAATATTACGGAACATTTTGTAAGCTCCGATTTCTGCGGCTCCAGATTGTCAGTAACACTAATCCCGATAGTCAAGGGGTGCATTAGCAATTCATTTAAATGACAGGTTGCGCTTTAGTTAATATGGTGGGTTAGCAAGTGAGCTAGCTGTTTCAGCAGCGTCGTCTTGTTGCTAGGCACGACCTGAGCGCACACACGAATCAACAAACCGTTTTCCCCCGCTGCTGGCTTAAAGGAGGGCACCTGCCAGTTAGGATGAACCTGTGCTAGGTTCCTTGAATCCGTCACGTTGAGAACACAGATGCTGATCAGCTTATGGTTCAGCTAAAAACAAGCACAGGCTGTGCTATAATTGGTGTTTCTTTGATTTCCCTTCATTTATTTAAAGCTGCTTGCAAGGCATGCATATATGATGAAGTTATAGCCGATGTCTTTCTGGGGTTTGCCAGGAAGATCTGTCTTCTGTGGCCTAGAGTAAAACACTCTCAGATGAAGAGAAGTGCAGATACAGATCAGGGTCAGTTACATACTCTCACAGGTATTTTATGTGCATTAGACAAGCAATTGTACCACGTGAGAGTTTTCTGGTTCAGAATGGGTGTAGGTTGTGATTACACCTGGCACTTCTGAAAGTAGAAAGCATTTTATTGTCCTGACTCCCTATGTGCTCTTTTCTGTTCTCTTTCCTCTGCCCCTCCCTGAGCGTGCTTCCGTTGGAGGATTTCTGTTAAAAGGGAGTTACTCCGCTCTACTATCACAATGTGCTTGCTCATAGGTTGTCACTTGTTTGTTGGAGTTCTTTAACACTGTAGGTGATAACCCTACCATGAGGCAACTTTTGTGGGAATTTGGATTATACAAATAAACTTGAATGGAATTGAATACTGTTTCTCTTAGCCATTTTTTAAATGTGATGTTTAAGTACGTGCATGAGAGAAATAACAGCCAGTATAATAGGATGAAAGGAAACAATATAAGTACAATAAAGGTGATTTTCCACCTCAGAACAGTTTTTTCCCTCCCTTAGTTAGATAAATATCATCATTGGCATTGTGAAATCTAAGATTACTGGAATTTTCAAAGAAAAGATTAATGAGTCTAATGTGTAAACAAAAGAGGCAAAAGAGAACCTTTCTCAGTTTTTAATTTTTTGGGTGGTTAAATGGCATCCATTTAATTAGGAGTCAGAAATGACTGGACAATATATGAATGTATTCTAATGTTGTCTGTGGCCACCCTTCCAAAGATCCATTTTGAGTAAGTACAACTGCTGCAATAGTATCATGGTTCTTTAAACACACACAGGAAACACTGCATCATCTCCACGGCCTGTTGTCAGAGCCCTGTTGTTAGTACACTGCTGATCTTTATGATCAAACTTGCTTTGCTCACTTGCGGCTTCTTTCATTTTCTTTTTCAGCATTTTATATGCACAGTTGACTCCTTTTACATAAGGTGTCAAGCAGAGTAAAATCTCTTACCCTCTTCTCAACAGAGGTGCCAACTCATTCTCACCTGTTCAGCAGTCTTATATTTCACTCCAGGTTCATGCATATTTGATAAAGGGAAGAGTGTCGGCATGTTGGACTCCCCTCCTCTGACTAGGAATATGTCTGAATATGACTGTAGGGCATAAACTGCTAAAGCTATAAAGGTTTTTTTGTGGTTGTTGTGTTACTTTAATGTTTAGGTTAATGCTCAGCAAAAATTGTTGTTGTTTTTTTTAGCCCACAGGTGAAAAGCACTGTTCCTGCACATACATACAAACAGACTTCGGAGTGAACTTCTCGATGTACAGAAGCTAAAAATGGCATATTGTTGTAGTTTCATGTCTGTTTAAAATGACCCTTTTTCAACCATTTTCAGGTCATCAGGACTACTGGTTTTATGAAAGGCCTGTATGAAGAAAATGAAATGAAGTCAGACAGTGTAAAGGTACGTCTGTTTGACGGCTATGCTTAATAATATCACTAATTACAGTCTTTCCTTTGATTTGATTTTAATTTACTCTTTAATGCAATGGTGTTATGACCTAAGAAGCAGCCTTGCTCAATCATTAAGTCACCCAGTCATTACACAGGACTGTGTGTGTGTGTGTGTGTGGGGGGTCAAACACCTTACAAGAAAACAAAAATGTAAAGTTTTGGTAAAAGCTCATTCAGACATTGCTCTCAGTTGTGAAATGCTTAATCATAAGGCATAGGCTGATATTGTTACTGTCATCTTTTAAAGACTTGCCTATCACTCTTTTTCTCTACTTTTTAATGTCAGCTACGTATTTTATTAATTGCTTTGAATAGAGATTTCATAAAGGCATTAACACTGAAAAGCTCACCCTATTAGATGCGACACAGAAGGGCCAGGTGGTTGCAGCAGACACACGTCCTTATGTTATGCAGTTGGCAGCCTTCTCAAATGCAGCAGGCTGATGGACCAGAGGGGCTGTTTAGCTGGGTTATTAGTCTAGAGTAAGGTCTGTTTTATTAACATCCAAGAATTAAATCAAAGGAGTGTTTTTGTCTGTTCCTCCATTATGAAAGATGGTCCTTGTTAAAAATCCAGGTGTTCCATTTCACCTTTTGTCTGCCTTATTAAAAACAAGACTGATTGGCCCTTTGAGGTTCAGGATTTGAAAGCTAACAATTATACTCTACAGATGGCACAGTCACATTTACAATGTGTGGCAGACTTAAGATTCACACCCTGCAAAGTAAAATATACTTACTGTAATGTAAGTAGCATTATGAAGAAAATAGTGGTGTCAGAGTTAAAGGGTGGACACAAATGGTGATTATGGGCCAATTATAGTTTATTTGCATGCTATTTTATACCGGACTCAACTAAGATGCTCATCTAAGGCAGAAGGAACTTCAACTAATCTCTGCAAAGATCCACATTTCTCAGATTGTTTAATCATCCTAAACTGTGTCCGAAAATGAATCTCGTTGGAGTTACCTCCTGTGCACTGTCACCCTTTTTCTTTCTAGGATAAGGACTCAAAAATAGCCTTCCTTCAGAAAGCGATTGACGTTGTGATGCTGGTCAGTGGCGAGCCTCTGGCAGCAAAGCCAGCCCGCATTGTAGCCGGCCACGAACCAGAGAAAACCAACGAGCTGCTGCAGGCCATCGCCAAGTGCTGCCTCAACAAGGTCTGTCTTATTAGATTACACACTCACGCTGAAAAGCTAAATTAAGAACGCACTCTTATTTCACTAATTTATCCATTTTTCATGTTGTCTCTGTTATATCCGAGACACAAATAAAACTAGCTCTCCATTAAAAGGAAAATGAAGTATGTGTTATTTTTCACATCCAGATATTGCTCGATTGGGAAAACTGTCTGGCTGCCTCAGGGAGACATTGAAAGTATTTAATTGAACCCTGGAGATTGAGTGTAAACAGATGAGCAGATGCCTGGGGTTGTTGCTCCCTCTTAAATGTATGTATGTGGTTACAATTGCAGTAGTAATGGTATTTAATGGCAGCAAACAAATTAAGAACAACAACAAAAAGTAAAACGAATTCCCACAAGCCTGACATTTTAATGAATAGTGAAGAACTGTTAAATGGGCTGTTTTTCCTGAATTGTGTTTATTTTTATTTTTTCCCCTTCAACCGGAATCTTAGAGCTTTCAGATTTAAGGTTCAATCCAATCATAAAGTTTCTCCTTTTCAGGGACACTTTGGAACATAGATGCTGTTTAAAGCTGTTCAGCGAGTTTTACTGTATCACATTGTCTGATCCTCCTGTACATTTAACTGCAGATGTCCAGTGATGACGCAGTGAAGCGAGTGCTTAAAGGAGAAAAAGTGGACATTAAAACCAAAGCCAGTACCTCTAGGTCCCAGGACAAGGAGAATAGGGAGGGACGGG